GATTATTTGACTAGAAACGGGTTCATATAATGTACTCTTGGAACTTATGTAGTTAAATCCTTGGTTAGATGTTAGTTTGATTTATCCAAACAAGTTTGTATATATATATTTTTTTCATATATGGCATGCTCAAATTCGTTGTGTATGATTTGAAGGTCATTTGGACATGTTTTGAAGTATTCAAAGTTCATCAAAGAGTTTAAATTATATATACTAGTTACATTCTAGTGATACCATAGGTAAAGTATCAATACCTCAACGATTGGTATCAATACCTTATATTTTCATTGATTTTGAGCATCAAAACTCAAAATAATATCAGTACCTACATATGTTATCGATACCAATTAAGAGGTATCGATACCTCTATTTGAATTTTGTCTAATTTAATCTTTTTTTTAGAATATTTGATTAGTGAAATTATTTCGCAAGTTTCTTTATGTTCGTATGTGTTGTAAATTGGTCTCTGTCGTAACCGTCCTTCGGGTCCAGAATAGGGTTTCGACTTAATTTCAATATGATGGAGACGCAACCAATCATTTAAAATTAGGTTGATCGGACACCTTAATTTACCATCTTACCTAATCTACGTTTTACCAGAAATATGTCAGATTCGGGAGTCGATTACAATCAAGGAAGAATTAGCAACCTTGTACTGCCCTTTCAATACCAATTTAATTTCTCGGTGTCTTAATTGCAAAAATTAACAATTAAATTTAAGGATTCGATTCGAACTACTTACCTTTGATCGATTAAAATTGTCCCTAAAAATCAAAAAAACCTTGGATTGTGAAATAAAATATATAAATAATTTACAAATTTTAAAAAAGGTTAAAAATGTTTAAAAATAGTAAAAACATGTTAATGAAAAATAACACAAAAGTTTAAAGGATTAAATTAAAACAAATTGAAATTGAGGGACCTAATTAATGCTGAAAGTGAACTGCAAGGGAAAAACAAAATGTTAGATGGCTAAATTGCAAAATATAAGAAATATAATCAAAGATTAATTTGAAATAATTCAAAATTCGGGGGTAAATTTGCAATAGGTGACGAAAATGAACTACACATCAAAATATCAGGGACTGTAGAAATAATTTAACTATTTCATATTTACAACTTGGTCCCTGATAAATACCCAAAACCCAAAATAATTTCATTTTAAAACCAAACTTAGAAAAAAAACAAAAAAAAATCTCTCAAAAACACTCTTCCCCCATCATTTTCTCCGGTCGAACACCGGCTTTCCCTTCGCCGTAACCACTGCCCGGACCGCTGCTTCGACCACCGGGAAAACCCAAACTTAACCAAAATGTTCCTCTCCACCCCGTGAGTATGAAACTGAAGCTCGATTACCCCAAAAAGGTCCCAACCGGCGTAGATCTAGATTTAAAGTTTTATTTTTTTACCTATTTCCGATGAAAACCTTTCATTTTCCGACGTCGCTCCCTTCCCGAACCGTGATCGATGTTGCACTGTAGTTTAGGGTTTATAAAAAATGCCTTATTCGACGTTGTTTTGATTTTTTTTTTGGCTTGGTGACTTTCGGTTTTAACCGAATATGGCTTATTTTGGTTTTGGTTTTTCGATTTGGTTGTGTATCACTATTTTTGTTCTTCTTTTATGTTGTTACTGCTTGTATTGCTGGGTTTTTTCTCGATGTCCCCTCTTGTTCCCCGATGAGGTATTTATAGCGTCCCCCATCGGGGATATTTTTGGTTATTTCGGGGTCGTTTTCCCCATCCCCGATTTACTCAAGTTGGTAGAGGTGTTGTTGACCGCCTAAATGGGATGATTCAGTCCCGATTTAATCGGGATTGTTTTGCATGGCCGATTTTTAGGCTTGGTTTTGGCTGCTTCGTCTGTGTGCAGCCGAAAATCTCGGTTGATTGCTTTGAGTTGGGATTTAGCTGTTAGATTGGTTGTAGATCCAACGGCTGCTATCTTGCGGTGCTAGTGCTTGGTGTTGAAACCCCAGCCTTGTTGGGCTCACCGGGTCGGTTTGCTAGGTCAGGCTTGCCCACCCGGTTGGGCTCCTTCCTAGGCCTCTTGTACTGTTGGACTTGGACCTGTTAAGAAATTAAATGAATAAATAAATAAATAAAACCTAAATAAATATAAAATAATATAAATATAAATAATAATAATAAAACTATATTATATTTCCAAAAACTATGTAATTGATTTTCAAAAAAATATTATATATATTTTAAAAAACCATTTTCAAAATCATATTATATATTTTCAAAAATGCTTTTTAAAATCATATTCTATATATTTCAAAATTATTTTAAAAACTATATTATACGTTTTCAAAATTATTTTAAAAACTATATACTATATGTTCTCAAAATTATTTTAGAAACTATATATTATATGTTTTCAAAATTATTTTAAAAACTATATACTATATGTTTTCAAAATTATTTTAAAAACTATATACTATATGTTTTCAAAACCGTTTTAAAACACTATATACTATATGTCTTCAAAACCGTTTTAAAAACTATATATTATACGTTTTTAAAAATAAGTTTCCAAAACTATATATTATATATTTTCAAAAACCATATTATATATACTATGCTAAAACCCCGGACGAAAATAAGTCTCCACAGTCTCTAATGAAATCTTTGAAGTCTATCAATATGGTTTAAGTTTCAAATTCAGTCAATAAATATTTGATTATAAGTTAGTGATATCTCATGCTCGTTCGAGCGTCTGTTGAACGTTTAGGATAAATAAAAGATGTTACAATATTTATCTAAGAGACATATTATAATATAAATTTTAAGTAAATGGATTTAAGGTTAGATTTGAATTAGATCATACATGTAAAATTTGAAGTGAATTTAAATATAACATGAGATAATTGTTAAAACAAGATATGATATGAATAGGTAAATGAATCAATGTTTACATAATTTTATAGTACTTTAAATACACAAAAAAATAACACCAAGATTAACACGGTGTGACACAAAATTTCATACAAATTAAATTACATCAACAAAAATGAAAATATATCATTAAACAATGACATAAAAATTTCACCAAAACATGATTTTCTCTAATTAAGTTAGGATGGAAAAAACGATTGAAAATAATAATGCCTATGAAATGGATTGAGACAGTATATATAAATAACATAGAAAAATTGAGACACTAAATATATATAAAATAGAAAAATATTTAAAATATAATGTGAAAATGGCATGACACACTAAAATGAATCAATATATACATAAGAAAAATTATAAATTAGAAAAAACATAAAAAATTATAACTTTTGTTTCATTTTGGTCATCTAATTACTCTTTTTCAAAATCATACCTAATGTTACGTTTTGGTTTCATTTTGGTCACACACCATTAAAAAACTAACAGAACTATTGACGTGACATTTTTCAATGATGATGTAACATTATATTATGATGGCATATGCATTTAAGTTTTTAACGATAGATGACAAAAATGAAATCAAAAACTAAATATTATGTATGATTTTGAAGAAAAAAATCAATGGGTGACCAAAAAAGAACAAAAGTGATAGTTAGGTTACTAAATGTGTAGTTTAACCAATTATTTTTTTACTAATAACACACCAAATATTTATTTATACTTCAAAAATATTAAAAAAAATAAGATTTAATAGTTAATTATCCCATGTACTTGATTTTGGTGGGTGAGTCTCCTAGCGGAGATTTTATGCATACATAATGACTTGAACCTAAAACCTTACATAAACGATATTAAACTATTTATCACTCGAACTAATCCGTTAATATTTTATCTTCATATCGAATATGAATCATGTATAACTTTTTTCAACTTTTCTTTTGTACTATCATTTCATTTTGTCTTATTATCGTTAATGTTAAAAGAATGGCATAACCAATCAGAACACATGAAAAACATTACAGTTCTTATAAAAAAGAATCAGATAAAATTATAAAAATAACCAAAAATATTTGAAAATCCAAATTTTACTTTTTAAAATATTTTTTATGATTTTATTATTTTTTTCAAAAAAAGTAAGCATAATCAAAATTTTGAGAAAATATAAGTTTAAAATATGAATTCTAAAATATATAGTTCTTTTAGATTTTTTTTTGAATTTGTTGGCTTTTAAAATTTTTCATTTTTTTTATTACATTGGCATGATTTGATTGGTCACATAATTTTTAACTATAACTGCTATAAAAGAAAAAGGTGGCAGAAAAAATGGTAATGGAAGTAAACTAAAAATTAAACTAAAGTGCATGGCTATTAGGCAAAATAATAGTAATAATTTCAACACACACACTGCTTTAATATTTTATCCTTTTCCTTTCCTCTTTGCAAAGATCCAATCGGCCAATCCACCTATTCCCGTGTCATACTTCTCTTCTAAAGAAAAAGGAAAAAGGATAAACTACGTATATGGTTATCTAATTATTATTTTTATTTCGTTTTGGTAACTTAACTATTATTCTTTTCAAAATTACACCTAACATTATGTTTTGGTTCTGTTTCAGTCATCCTTCATTAAATTAATACTGATGTTGATGTACCATCATAAGGCAATGCCATGACATCATTGAAAAATAAAAATATTGTCACGTCAGTAGTTTTGTTTATTTTTAACGACAGATGACTAAAATGTAACTTTAAGTATAATTTTTAAAAAAAATAGTTAAATGATCATAAGTGATAGTTGGATGACTAAATATGTAATTTACCCAAAACAAATTCAAACTTTCAATTAAAACATCTCGGGCAAGGTGCAATTGGGTCCACTTTTATATTAGGGTATAATATATACATCTACAAATAGCCATCCAACTTCCATTAAACCGCAAGAAATGAAACCATCAGCATTTTCCCCCACCGCTTGCTTCACATAAATCCACCACAGATCAACCAATTCTTTCTGATTTCTTATTTTATATATTAGCCATTCTATTCTTAGTTTGTATTTTTGCATCAAATTTTTTTTTTGCTTTATATATTACATGATATTATATAAATAAAATATATTGGCGCTTACTCTAAGAACCCTATATTATTACCTAACTTGCGTGTAGATGGATCAACGTTCGAAAAATAGTTGTGATGAGGGTTTTAAATACATCATCATGGAAGATGAGGTGGCGACAAGGAAGCGGAGCCAAGCGGAGGAAATGCAAGCTAAAAAGCTGGAGGTTATGGGTGCCGCCACCTCAAAGTTTTGTCGTCACTTAACTTCTTTAAAGGTGTCGGCAGCTATGGCTTTGTTGACGGGAACCCTTCTCTGGGTTGGCGGACTGCTGCAGACGGCGGTGCTCAGCCGTGAAAATACGGCATCAAAGTCTTCATTCTATACTGGACTCGCAACACAGAGTGAGTCATGATTTCATGTTTTCTGTCCATCTAGAACAACGGCGGATTCAGTAATTTAGAAATGGGATCTAAAAATTTTAATACTTTTCTTTTAAATATAATGGATATGCAAATTTTCTTATTTTCTTCTTCTTCTTTTAATATATTGAATTATATTGAATATCTAATCTAAAATAATGGGTGTGCATTTGGCCCCCTACATGGCCATATGTATCCGCCCTGCTATGGAAAAGAAGATCTTTATTGAGTTTTAAGATATCAATTTAATTTTTAAAATATATATATATATTTCATAAGCTAAGGATTTCTTATTAAAAATTATATTTCTTTTTTCATGAAGATAATAATCAAAATTGATATTATTTTGTTTGTTTAAATTAATTGATTAATCCCTCTAATGGTTTAAAAAATAAAACTTTAAATTTCTCATAATAAACGGTTTGTTTAATTCAGTTATAAATCTAAAGTTGTTCATTGATTTATAATCCGATGGTCGGGGTTTAATTAGGGCAAATAGATGTTAAAAAAATTAGGGTTTGGGGATGAAATTGGATTAACTGGGGAAATATGGATGTTTCTATAGTACAGATAAAATCATAGGTATTTAAAATCAACTTTGATAAAATTGTCTACAGTTGTCGGCAATTTTACTCCGTTGTTTTCTCTATTTTTTTATAATTTAGGATTAAAATAAAAAAACTAAAAATATAAAAACTAAAATAAAATTTCATAAAAAATATTATAATAAAATGAAACACTCAATGTTGATTTCTAAAAAAATATTTTGGTCTTTTTTTCTACAATTTAGTATTAAAATATAAAAAATGAAGTAAAATCGTTGATGGTCGCCAATTTTATTAAACTCATTCCCATCTATTGATGATTTTGTCAAACTTATTCTTATATTTCAATGATTTTATTAAATATAAAAACATTTTTTATTTTTCTAATTAATCTGATACCATTCCTAAATTCTTGAGGAAAAATATCAACAAATTATTTTCTCTAATTTTACCGATGGTAAGATAGAATGGTTGTTTTGTACTGTTTATTAAAAATGATCTTTAGTGGATGCAACTCTTACGTGCATTAATGAGTAAACCCTTTCACTCTGTCCATTGAAGCTAGGACCATGTACTATGTTTTTCTTTTTTTTCTATGACTATGAACAACTTTATTTGATTTAATAATTATGTAGTTGAAATATTAGAAATTTATTTAAAATTACTTTTGATAATGTATACCCTAGATTATATAAAAAATAATGTTTATGGGTTTAAGGTGATGTTTAGTAATATTAAAAATTTAAACGTTGAATTCATATTAAAAAAATTTGGTAAATTAGTAAAAATTAAATATTTGATTTAATTATTTTATGATATTTTATTTAATTATAAAAAGTGGTCCAATATTGAATATAATCATTTTATTCTATAAATATAATTTATTTCTTTCTCATATAATGAACACCTTCCTTTGATTTAATTATGATGTAGTTGAAATTTAAATTTAAATTTATTTAAAAATACTTTTAATAACATATATGAGATTAAGGCGATGTTTGATTCAATTAAAAAAATAAGTTAGTAAATTAATAAAAATAAGAAAAGTTAAGTGTTGATTCAATTAAAAAAATAAGTTAGTAAATTAATAAAAATAATAATTTTTATTAATCTAGGGGTAAATACAAGGCAACATTTGTTCAAAAATAACTTCCAATCATTTGACATTAAAGTCTCATACCCTGACATTTCTTGTGCTCTTTTTCGGGATCTCAAGGAATAACAACAAATCATTTACCACTGAAACCGCTTAGTTCGTGCAAATTCATAAAAAATATATATTGAGTCCTAAAAAAATTGGAACAATGAGTATTACATACTGGCAGTGAAATGTTTGAAATGTTTCGCATTCATTGGTTGCTATTTGTGCAGGGGTTTATAGGAACAATGGGTACCTAGTTGTTATAGCCAATGGAGGGTTGAATCAAAGGCGACTCGCGGTGAGTAATTTAGATACAATTTTTTTATAATTAACCAATTATAGATATTATTATATAGTAATCAGAACATCTCATCACGATAATTTCGAGAAAGACTGTTGCCCACATGATGATTTCATGATCCTGTCACGCTTGCAAGTCAAGTTCGCTTGTTTCCTAAGTCCAGACTGTATCTTTACCAACTAAAGTACATGCAAGCGATATGGAGAAATCGTCGTGCACGTACGACGAGATCATAAAATCATCATGCAAACAAAACTTTCTTAAAATCGTCGTAGACTTTTGATAAAATCCTAGGATTATTATAACAAACACTCAGAACCATAAAATATTTTTTGTGCACCTTATTCAAACAGTTTTTTTTTCTTTTTTACATATATTTTTTACAAACTAATTTGTATTAAAAAAAACCAAACTAACATAAAAAGATTCCTACGAATACTATGATTGACATAGTGATGAAAACCTTTTGACATGTAACTCACAGATTGTTGATATGATTGTGGTTGCAAGATATTTGAATGTTACACTTATTGTCCCTCTATTCGACAATGGAACATATTGGAATGATAACAGGTGAGCATATATACATTTATTCTTCATTTTTTTATTTAATAATAATGTTTGGTTTCTGTCAAAATAATAATAATAATAATAATGGTCGGTCATCATAATCAAACGAGAATTAGGGGATTGTTTTGGTTGATTGGATTTAGGGTTTAGAGTATAAGGTCATTATATGTTTGTAAAAAAAATTAATTTAATCTGATTTTAAATAAATGTTCATTGATGCTTGTCCACTGAACAGGTTATTTCCTCCGCTAATCTTGACATCGTTTGGGTTATTTCTAAACTTCTTGATTGGTATATTTTGAAATTTTATAATTTAGTCTAATATCTCGTTTTCTTCAAATATGTTTTTGAATCTTGTCTTTATAGTCTTTCATTGAATTCTAATCATTAGGGATAGTTGAAGAAATTAATAAAACAGTTGAGGAGAAAATTTCCACAATAAATGTCGTACAAACAGTATTATATCGATTCTAGAAGGATTATATCGATACTCTCTGTATTTCATTCAAAATTAGTCATTAGATACTCCAATGAATATAGGCACTCTTAATAAAGTATTGATTCATCTCATTAATATCAATATTAAACTGAAGTATTGGTATTAATTTTTTATACTGGAATCCTTCAAAAATGATTTAAAGCTTGAGTAGTATTAATACTCGAAGAGTAGTATTAATACTGTTAAATGAGTATTGATATTCATATTGTAGTATTAACATTCTTTTCTTACTTTTAAGAATAAAAACTCAGGTAGTATTAACGACGTAAAAACAATATCGATATTCTTCTTACAATATCAATACTCATAATTATATATGAATATTGTTTTTATATACTAAAATTTTTGGGTTATTTTAGGCAAGAATTGACTTAAAACTCTTTTGTTAAATATTTCTTAATTTAAGATTGTTTTGCCGATATGTAAAAACTGGAAAATCTTACAGTTTTTTTATTTAAAAATTTAATTATTTATAAATAAAACATGTTTTAAAAGTTCATTTGAAACTTAATGATTTTAAGTTTTTATATCAAAATCATAAAATCTACATCTTCCAATCTTAATTAAAATAGATTTAAAAGGATATAGTTTGACAAATTAAGGAGGAATTTAATGATAAAGAGAATGTTTTTTTAAAAAGTTAAATTTTATATCTAAAGAAAGCAGAGAACCTGCTACAATTACAAACAGAAAATTTCACAAGACTAATTTAACCCTCAAACTATACAAAGGTTAGCATTAGCCGAAGCCACCCAATCTTTACATTTATGATGTAACCGTATACGAACTATGTCCTAAGGAGGCGTTTGATTCAGTGTAATCTTTTATTCCTTTAACCAAACATTGTAATCTTACATTCTTGCAAAACGAACCAAACACAAAATACAACATTCCCAGTAATCTTATTCCTACCGGTAATATTACATTCCGTGAACCAAACGCACCCTTAATACAATACAAGAAAGAATATCCTCTTCAGTTAGACACCTACCCCTAAAGTACTTAAACTTTCATTTTAGTGCAAGCAAAAAAAGGGTAAAATACATGTTTGGTATATATTATCACTTTTGTTTCATTTTAGTACTTAAACTTTCATTTTTTTTGTCATTGAAGTTTATTTTTTAAATTCAATCACTTAACTTTCAATTTACTCCTATTTTAATCATTCTAACTTATTTTATTAATATTTTCTATAAGTTGACATCTTTTAATTATGATTTATTAATATATGATTAAAATAACAGAGGAAGGGAAGAGTTAGGGAGGTCAATAAGAGTGAGAATGTGAGGATGGGATGAGTAGTTTATGATTTAGGGTTTGTCATATATTTTTTTGGGTTTGGATATAATTTTAAAATTTAGTTTTATTTTAATTATATATTAATAAAATAATAAAAAATTATGTCACAAAAATATTAATAAAATAAAATAGAGTGATGAAAACAAGAACAATTTGAAAGTTGGGTTGTTAAATTGAAAATTTTTAAACTTTAGTGACCAAAATAAGAGTGAGAAGATAATTGAGTGATGGATAATGTAATTTACCATAACAAATGCCAGTTTTGTTAAATTTTTAATGGGTACTAAAATGAAACAAAAAATAAATATTAGGCATGATTTTGAAAAATATGAAAGTTAGTATTAAAACGGAACAAAAGTTAAAGTACTAAACATGTAGTTTACCCAAACAAATCAGTCCTAGGCTGCTCCACCGGTTTCATCCTTCTCAATCGGCTTTGCGATGATGGCGACACCTCGGGAAAACTGAAAAGGAAATTGAAGTTTCATTTTCTCGGTAGCCAAACAACAACTTCCTGTCTTCAATGTTTATTATTCGTCCATGAAAAATCGATCTAATAATCAACATGTGAAGTTTTACGGCAATTCTTCTTGGGTATTTCGTAGTGTACGTAAAATTCCGAGCATGACTAAGTTTAATCATCTCCATTGTTGATTATTCATGGCAGCACATTTGCAGATATATTTGATCTCAATCATTTAATAACATCTCTAAAAGATGAAGTCCTCATAGAAGAAGAGTTTCCTCAGGAGCTGAAGAAGCAAGAAGAGTCATTTTATTCCATGGTTCCCACAAGTTTCGCTAGCTTGACATATTACTACGACAGGGTAAGTAATTTCCCAGCTCCTCTTCTTTCTTTGTATCGACGTTCTTGTTTTATCAGATTATTGAATTTTGTTTCTCCACAGATACTTCCTCGCATAAAACAGCGTGGGGTTTTGCTTTTCACTTTGACAGACGCTAGGGTAGCCAACAATGGGTTACCCGAAGAGTTCCAAAAGCTTCGGTGTAGAGTGAACTACGAAGCATTGAGATTCACTGAGGCAATTGAACAAACAGGTAGACGAATCGTTAGTCTGTTGAGACAAAAGGGCCCTTTCTTGGTTCTTCATCTTAGATATGAAATGGACATGGTAGCATTTACCGGTTGCGTTGAAGGTTTAACCACACAAGAGGTTATAGAAGTTACAGAAATGAGGTAAGAATCCGTCTTTGAAATGGTATAGGCAAATTTAGATTGATCTGATTGGATTTTCAGGTTGGAATCAGAATTAACAAATCTGATTTCAGGCACTCGCACAAAGATTGGAAGAACGAACACATAGATTCAAGGAGTAGGAGAAAGCATGGATCTTGCCCTTTAACTCCCGAAGAAACTGCTCTTGTATTGCAAGCATTAGGTATTCACAGAAACACCACAATCTATATCGCTGCTGGAAAAATTTACAATGAAGACAAGAGAATGGCCAAACTAAGAAAGGCTTATCCAAATCTGGTGAGTTGAAAAACCCAGAAAATTATGAGTCAAAATAAATATGGCAAGGCTTAATTATTATCGAGTGAAAGCAGGTGAGAAAAGAGGTGGTATTGGAACCCTGGGAGCTTAGGCCCTTCATAAACCACGCGGATCAAATGGCAGCTTTGGATTATATTGTTGCGATTGAAAGCGATATTTTCATTCCCACTTTCCGAGGAAACATGGCCAAAGCCGTCGAAGGCCATCGCAGGTAATCATTCTAGTCTCCCAATGACAGAATCTCTTTAAACTTACTGCAACTCTGCAATCGTGATCAGGGTAAAGTATACAAATGAACCTCCGATTATAAGATATTATTTTGTTGAGTATCATAACTATCAAAATTTATAAAATGGTCCCTAATTATAGGATGTTACATTGTTGAGTCCCCCAACTATTAAAAGTTATAAAATAGTCACTCAACTATTTATTATGTTCTAAATTCATCATTTTTCATTAAAAATTGCCGATGGCCTAAGCTGAATGTTAATATGTTGTCATAAAATATCAAACGACTATCATATCTCAAACAACATATTGATATCTAGATCGGATTGCTGTTAATATTTTAACAAAAAATGATGAGTTTGGAATATAATAAATAGTTGGATGACTATTTTGTAACTTTTAATAGTCGTGACTCAACAAAGCAGCATCCCATAGTCGGGGATCATTTTGTAACTTTTGATATCGGAGACTTAACAAAGCAATATAAAGAAAATATCTAAAATACACAAAAAATTAAAATTTGTAGAAGCTTGCTATCTTCAGCAAGATCATGTTTTCATTGTAATTCCTTTACCTCTCAAAATATCTAAAAGAAATTCTCCAATGATCAAATGTTTGGGATATTTGTATTTCTCAATCACAGCAAGATCATGTTTTCATTGTAATTCCTTTACCTCAAAATATTTAAAAGAAATTCTCAAATGATCAAATGTTTGGGATATTTGTATCTCCCAATCATGACATAATCTTTGATAAGTTTATATGATTTGCCATAGTCAAGTTTACATGCTGCAATACTCATGCAACATGTCATCTTATAAATAGTCATTATAACTCTAACCTAACACCAACATTAAAAGTTTTTTTTATATATAAACTCTCGTATAAAACTAAAAAGGTCTTCTTCTTTTCTTCCTTTTTCACTCTCTCTCTCTCTCATGGGGCTAAGGGTTCTTCACTTTTTGTGATCCATCTTTTTCTCTAAAATTATCATATACAACTTTTCATCTAAATTAAAACTGGTGATTCGTCTATAACTATCGTAACCTCAAATATTATCATCGATTTTCAAGATAACAATATTGTCAAATGTTTTTGTTAGATACATGGGATTCAAGACATCAATTCTTCTAGACGCAGAGATTCTAGTTCCATTAATCGATGACTACTACAAAAGAACATTGAGTTGGGATGAATTTGCGTTGATGGTGAAGAAAACTCATCAGCATCTTGTTGGAAAACCACAGAAGAGAAAGGAAATTCCAGATCATCCTAGATACGAAGATTTTTTCTATTCTAATCCACAAGAATGTTTGCCTCCATTTCCTCACTGATCACTACTGCTACATACCTAAAACCAAGGATGTCTTTTTTATTTTTTTTACTTTTATTACACCCCCTGTGTTCTTTTGTTACACCCAATAAGTCCTTTACTTGGCATCTAAATAAGATGAACCTCTTCACAAAGATCACCATGAAAAAAAAGTATTATGAACATTCATATGATGCACCTCTCAATTTTTGGCAGCAACATCTAAAAACACAATAACAATAAGGCTTAATACAAAAAAAATTGTCTAATCTATACTCTTTTTTAGATTTAGGTATCTAAATTTCTTCCGGTCAATTTGGGTGTTTATCGTTACAAATGTTGTTATTCTAAATGCCCGATCATAACGACCGCTAAAATATTATGTTAAGTGACATGCGTCAGATTTATATAATTAAAAAAATTGAAATAAAAAACTTTAAAATATATTTTTTATAAAAAGCTCAAAAGTTTCGAAAATCTTAAAAAAATAAAAATTTTGAAAACCCTAATTTCAATCGCTATAACCACTTTGACCACCGTTTTTACCGCTATTGTCATCAACTCGACCTACTTTTACTGCACCTCCACCTGACGATCAGTTACCCGACGAACAGTTGCCTGAAAACCCCACCAGACACTAAACCCTATGAACCAAACGATTACAAATTGCGATACACAATGACTGCGACGACCATCACAATAGCAAAGGCAACAACGAATGAAAAGGGACATGACAAAGGCAACATTGGTGATAGCAACAGTGGTGGCAAGGGAGATGATAAGTATAGGGTTAGAGATTTTAAGGTTGATTTTAGGGATTTGTAGGAAATTGAGGCTTTTTTGTAATTTTAAAGAAATTAGGTTTTTTAAATATACTAATATTTTTAATTTTTTTAAAATCAAAATTACTTGAATGCAACATATGTCACTTAACGGACATTTTGACATCAGTTACTCTCTAGTCTTTCATTGAATTCTAATCGTTTGGATAATTGGATAACTTAATAAAATAGGTGGAGAGAGTTTTTTTCCACAACAAATGTAGTCCAAATACTATTATATGATACTAGAAGGATAACATCTATAATTTCTGTATTTTATTCAAAATTAGTCATTATATAACCTAGTGAGTATCAGTACTCTTAATAAAGTACAAATACTCATCTCATTAATATCGATATTAAACCGAAGTATTGGTATTACTTTGTTATATTGGAATCCTTTAAAATCAATTTAAAGTTCGAGTAGTATTAATGCTTGAGGAATAGTATCAATATTGTTAAATGAGTATTGATGTTCATATTGCAGTATTAACATTATTTTCTTACTTTTAAGAATAAAAACTCAGATGGTATTAATATCGTAAGAACATTATCGATATTATTCATATAATATCAATATTCATGATTATGTGTCAATATTGCTTTTGTATACTAAAAATTTTGGGCAATTTTGAGCAAGAATTGACTTGAAATTTTTGTTTAATTATCTCTTAATTTCAGATTATTTTGTCATCATGAACCAAAGTGACCTTTGTGGTAAAATAATTTTTTTTATTCTTTGAGGACTCGGGTTCGAGCACCATAGATGCCAGGTGTGTGAGCGATCAATGTCGAAAGGTTGATATTTAGCTTTGAACATATACTGCCAAATACTTACCCCAGATTATTAAAAAAAATTGTCAATATGTTAAAAATGGAAAAGCTTACAGTTTTTAAATTTAAATTTAATTTATTATAAATAAAATATGTTTTAAAAGTTCATTTGAAACTAATAATTTTAGGTTGTTATATCAAAATCATAAAGTTTACATCTTTCAATATCTATTAAAATAGATTTAAAAAGATACCGTTTAACAAAATTAAGGAGTAATTTTAATGATAAAGAGAGTGCTATTATTTTAAAGGGGTTACGGTTTGAGTATTTTTTATTGTTTTGTTGAATGAGATATTTTATGGAATAAATATAAAATGATATTTTTATGTGAAATTAAATCATAAAAAATATATATATACATAAAAAAGAAATACCCTTCCAATCCTTGTGAAGGCAAAAACAGTTAAAAAGAAAGGACTCTCTCGGCTTTATTCCAGGAAATAACCAAAACAACAGCCATGGCCCATAGTATAGTCAATTTGCCATTGAAATTACAATTTAAATTAGGGTAAATTACACATTTAATACATAAACAATAAGTTTTGGTCCATTTTAGTACCTAATTTTTTTTTTCTTTTTCTAAAATCATACCTAACGTTTAGTTTTTGTTTCGTTTTAGTACTTCACCGTTAAAATCTTAACGAGTGATTTTCCACGTGGCAACTTATAATGGGTAAATTGTATCATTCATCACTAAACTATCTTTCATCACTAAAGTTTAAATTTAACTTTCAAATTACTCCTAATTTAATCAATCTAACTTTCAAATTTGTTTTTTATTTTTAATTATATATTAATAAAATAATAATAATTTTCATGTCATAAAAATTATTAATAAAATAAACTAGAGAGATTAAAATAGGAGCAATTTGAAAGTTGAATAGTTAAATTATTATTTTTGAACTGTAGTGTCACAATATGAGTGAGAAGATAGTTAAGGGATGAATGGTGTAATTTACCCATAAAAACGTTAAGTTTTTAATGGTTATGTACTAAAACGAAACAAAAACTAGATGTTAAGTATGATTTTGAAGAAAAAATTAAAAATTTAGGTACTAAAACGGACTAAAACTAATAATTTAAGAAACAAACGTGTAATTTACTCTTTAAATTATCAAAATAAAAAAATATCAAGCAAAAAAAATCAATTATAGGTTGCACAATCGGCTTCATCTTTCTCATTCAGCTTTGCGATGATGGCGACACCTCGAGAAAATCGAAAAGGAAGTTGAAGGTTTCATTTTCTCGGCAGGCAAACGACAACTTCCTGTCTTCAATGTTTATTATTCGTCCATGAAAAATCAATCTAATAATCAACCTGTGAAGTTTTCAACAATTCTTCTATGTTATCAAATGTTGCAAGCTGATGCAAGTTAGCAAGTTGCCAACTTGTGTATACGGGAAAATTATCATTTGGTCCCTAAACAATTAAGTTATTTATAAGTTTGGTCCTTGAAGTTCAACTATAAATATGCCTAAACACTTTCACTTGAGTATATCCCAAAAAGTTCTCTTTACCATTTGTTTTCTTCATTCTCCCACTTGTAATATTTTAGGAATTCTATGGAATTCCGTTTGTTAATGTTTTGTTAATAGTGAAGTTATCATCCTTTGGTGGTGTCTGAAGAGTAAACACATTTTTTGTTGAACCTCGTAAATTTGTTTTGTTCTCTCAATTATTTTTATTGGATTTTTCCATTGTGTTTCAATATTCAATAGTTTGACGGGGTTGTCCGTTGTGCTTTTGGTAGTTTTGATCTTGACGTTTCAGGTCAATTTTGAAAATATATTCGTGTGGGAAATAACCCGATTTCCACCAATAATTGGTATCAGACCTTCGGTTGATGTTATCTTGGTGGTCCCGTTTTTTAAAATATTAAGTTTGTGTTGTTGAATATTGTTCATTGGCTTTAAAATGACCAAATACGAATTAATTGAGACATCAAGCTCTTCATCCAGACAGATGAATAGGGTGTTGTCAAATGCAAACTTCTCAGTGGAGTTATTCGATGGATCCGATCATTCCGGCATGTCGCAAGGCGAGGTGTTAGACGCTTTATTCCAACAAGGTCTAGACATAACCATTGAGGAAAAAAGCTCGCAGATATGGAGGAGAAAGAATGGGGAACAATCAATCATTTGGCTTGAAGCACGATTTGATCTTGTCTTTCCAGGGAGAAGAAGAATGACTATAAGAATAAGACTTCTGCAAGTAAGCTGTGGAAAGCATTGAAGAAAAAATTCCTAATGAAAAGCTCTCAGAATCGTCTCCACATGAAGAAAAGATTGTTCAGATTTGATTATCATTGCCTTCAATGAACTAGTGGTAGATTTGTTGGGCATGGATAAAACCTTCAATTAAATGTTGTTGTCACCTCTTCCAGATGAATTTGTGAACCTTGAGACGATGTTACTTCATGGTAAGGATCAAGTTACCCTTAAAGATGTAAATGATACTTTGTATAGTTATGAGCTCAGGAAGAAAACTAAGAAGGAGAACAAGTATGAAGCATTGGAGGCCATGGTGACAAAAGGTCGCTTAAAAAGCCACAATCCAAAGAGGAGAGAGAGATCAAATTCGAAGTCTAGACTGAGAAAAGATGAATGTATCTTTTGTTATGAGAAATATAATTGGAATAAAGATTGTCTAAAACTGAAGAAGAAAAGAAAAGTTACTCTAGATGCATGTATTGCAGAGCATGACGCCAATGACTCTGACATATCATTGGTTGCTTCATCATAAACATTTCATTCAGATGAGTGGATATTAGATTCGGTTTACACCTATCATATGTCTCTTAATTGGGAGTGGTTCTCTGATTTAGTAGAACTAAATGCAAGAGTTGTTTATATGGGCAACGACAATGCCTGTAAAACTATTGGGATAGGTTCAATTCGATTGAAGAATCAAGATGGATCAAATAGAGTTCTTACTAATGTCCGGTACGTGCCTAATTTAAAGAAAAATCTATCTTGCTGGGAGCCTTGGAATCCAAAGGCTCAATTTTCACTATGAAAGATGGAGTCTTGAAAGTCACATCTGGCACACTTGTGATGATGAAGGGCATCAGGAAAAATAATTTGTATTACTACCAAGGTAGTATAATTATTGGAGCAGTTGCAGCAGCTTCTGGTGGCGACAATTTGGAAACAACCCAGTTGTGGCATATACGGTTGGGACATGCTGGAGAGAAATCCTTGCAAATTCTAGTAAAGCAAGGGTTGTTGAAAGATGCAAAGGCTTGAAAATTGTACTTTTGCAAGCGTGTTTCGGGAAAGCAGAAAAAAGTGAAGTTTGGCACCACAATCCAAAATATGAAAGGTATTTTAGATTATATTCACTCAGATGTGTGGGGTCTTTCCAAGACACAGTCTTTGGGATAAAAACATTATTTTGTAACTTTTGTAGATGGCTTTTCTAGAAGAGTTTGAGTGTATCTGATGAAGTCTAAAGATGAAGTGCTCCAAAATTTCCTTAAATGAAAAAATATGATC